TACGAATCCGTTAAAGAAAAACTTTCGGACCTGAACAAAACCAAATCATTTGTTTTTGACAGCATTCACCCACGCGTCCTAAAATGCTGTGCTGCAAGCAAGAAAAAAGCCAAAATTACTCCTATCTTCAAAAAAGACTGCATGTCGAACCCCTAAAACTATTAACCTATCTCACGCACTTCTGTCTCTTCCAAGGTAATGGAAAACTTTTTACACAAACACATTACTGACCACTCAAAAAAAAAAAAAAAATCATCAGCTCTGCTCACCACGGGTTCAGAAAAGGTAAAAGTTGTGTCACAAACCTACTCGAAGCAGCCTGCAAAGGTTACCCAACCGATATCATATTCACAGGCTTTGCTAAAATATTCGACAAAAGTTCCGCACCGTCGTCTGCTGCACAAGCTGAAATTATATGGAGTGTTACCAATGGTTACGCGTTGTAGCCGGTTGGCTAACCAACCGGCTACAACGCGTAACCATTGCTAACAATAAATCCAATTGGAAAACAGTCTCTAGCGGTATGACACAAGGATTTGTTCTTGGACCACTTCTGTTCCTTCTCTACATTAACGATTTTCCAGACAAAATACAACACCACTTTAAAATGTATGCAGATGTTTTAAAATAATCGGAATTATAGAATCAAACCATGACATCATAAAACTTCAAGCCGACATCAACGAAGCAGTGTTGCACACATGGCTCATGTCATTTAATGTTGACAAGTGCATGCATACTGGGCGCAGCAATAAATAAAAATCGACTGCCATTTATACAATGAATAACCTGGACGGCCAACTGCTATCATGCACGTTATCTGAACGAGATCTCGGCGTTTTTAAGACTAGTGATCTAAAAGTTAAAAAACAAGTCTATGCGGTTGTATCAGCTGGCAACCAAATGCCTGGCAGGCTCAAGATAGCTTTTCGAGTTTGAAGATCGGCATTATGGCGCACACTGTATATATCGTACGTTCGTCCACACCTAGAATTTGCAGTACATGCCTGGTCACCTTTATTAGTTCAAGGCAAAGCCGAACTCGAGCAAGTTCAACACCGAGCCACAAAACATATTGCTACCCTAAAACACCTTTCGTATACTCGAAGACTATCAAGCTTTAACCTGACAACACTAACTGAACAACGAGAAAGAGGAGACCTTATTGAACAATTTAAAATCATAAGCAAAATTGATAAAGTTAACTTTCACGTCCCTCAACTTTAACCGAACACGGAATCTTCAAAGTACGCATGGGCACACTAAAGAACTAAAAGCACAACTTGTCCGAAACTGCGCTGAAAGAAGCAACTTCTTCACCAGCCTTGTTGTAAAATTATGCAACTTTTTAAACCAAAATGCGGTGGATCCAAAGAACTTGAACAATTTCAAACACGAACTTTCTCTGCTACGGCATCTTCACTTAAGCTGAAATTGAAAAACTGTATTTTCATAACAGAAAGGCCTGTTGCGCCACTCTTTGTCTAAAAAAAAAAAAATGTAAACTTATTTTTGATTATGAATAAACCAAACCAATATATATATATATATATTGGTTTGGTTTATTCCATTATTTATTGGTTATTATATATATATATATATATATATACATATATATATATATATATATATATATATATATATATATATATATATATATATATATATATATATATATATATATATATATATATATATATATATATATATATATATATATATATATATATATATATATATATATATATATGTATATATATATATATATATATATATAAAAGATATTTACACGCTTACAAAATATAAACCCATATAACCGTATATAATTAAATATATAAATTAAGAAAAATATATATATATATATATATGAAACTTTACAAATACAAACTTATTTTTGCAATATTTGTTTAATGACATACCTTTTGTAATAAATGTTTAACAATTTTAAAAAAACAAACGATCAACGACTTGGGTTTTTATATGATAAAAGCGAACAGCTTTTCTTTTATTTCAATAAAATAAGATATTAAAACAATCTTGTTCTTTACATGCATCATAGAGGTGACCGTGTGAGATGTAAGGGTTTAAGAGATAAACTCTAACATTATGAAGAGTTTGACGATTTTACATTTGAAAAGATCATCGTCTTCTAGAGTCATCATCGTCTTCTAATTTTTAAAAATAAAAATCAATTTACTTTAAAAATAAAAATTAATATACTTTAAATACAGTTGACAAAGGATTTGAAATTTAAAATGCATGAATTAAATAAATTACATGACTTTAAAAGTTACTATACTCATTTAAAAATATCATAAGGTTATCCTTTACTACAGAAGTTATTAAAATTAAAAAGTTTTTGATCTTATTACTGATGAAGCAAAGTTTTCTATTTTATTACTGATTAAGAAGATATTAACAGATTGCAAAGATTTAAGAACACCTCATTGCGTGGTCTATATAAGGAAAAATATTAAAAGGCTAAGTATGGTAAAAAAATCTCCGTGTAAACGCGCACGAATGCATTAAGCAATAATATAAAGCGTTATAATTAACGGAACACTATTCGCGTCTAAGGAATATTTTTTTAAACTTTCTTTTTGAAAGCCATTCCTTTGATACTTTTTATGGGTTTAAAACAATGTTTAAAGTTGGTATCAAGAGAAAGGGAAAAAATAACAGTGTAAATTTGCATTTTTCTTTAAAACTGCACAATTCGACACTTACAGAATTAAAAAAAAATTTATGGCTTCTTCAAGCCATGTTGATTTTATTCATAAGAATGAAAACAAAAAAAAAGCCACTGAAATAGAACATATATAGTTTCTAGTTGGTCAGAAAAATGATTTAAACAATGTGAAAAACTATTGCAAAAAAAAGTGTCGAGGTCAAAGTTTTCATTTGATGAGAAGCAAGGCCGGCGCAAAGAGTATGTGTGGGATTGTTGACACCTCTCCATTCAATGAATATTTACACCATTAGTTGGCAAATAGGGATATTTTTATATATATTTTTATACCTTCAGTCGGCAAAATGAAATTTTTTTAAAAATACTCTTGGCAAAGTGGAACTATTTATTTCTAGCCGGCAAATTAGGGAAATTGGGAAGTTTTCTTTTTTTTTTCTTTTTTTTTTTTTAGTTGATAAAACTCGTTAACCCCCCTCCCTCCTTTCCCCCTCTAATCAATTGACACTTACTCGCGCCAGCCTTGATGAGAAGTAGTTTGCTTGGTAAATTAAAAGCAAGAGATTTAAAGCTTTTAGTTATAGCCATGAATAATAATCAGTGAATATATAAAGAGGTTGCTTTTTTAGAATGCTCAACTAATTATTTATTAAAGTTACTTTTATTAATAGTATTTTCAAGATTAACAATTTGGAGTACAAACTAGAATAATTGCTAATTGAAATAAGCGGGTCGAAATAATTTGCAAATTTTACCGTAGCGTGGGGTAATTGAGCACTTTTTTTTATAGCTTTTTTCAAAATAAAAAAAAAACTTGTAAATAATTTTAAAAAGTGAGATATGTTTTTTTAGTACTATCTTTCTTAGAGTAATGTTGGATTTAAGAAAAAATAAAAAGCGAAGAATTTATGTTACAAAGTTGGGGTAAACGAGCACCTTATTATTTTTTTTTTTATAAAATGATCGAATTTTGGAAATCTTAAGGCCCAAGCCCAGGTGGCCTGGGCCTAAAGATCTTTAAAAATTGGATGTCTAAAAATTTTAAATCTTATTATTTTTTAATTTGATTAACATTTAGACAAGTTACGTTATGATTAACAAGTTACGTTATGATTAAATCAATAATGCAAAAAAATTTATTATCGTTCTACTTTATTATTACATTTAAACATACTTGAAATAGTTCTATTTAATAGATATTGTATATATATAAAAAAATCCTTGCCAAATATATAATTCATTTGAACTAAAATAGCAGTATATAAATAAACATATAAACATATGAAAAACACACTAATATAATATTAACGCATATATAAGTCACCAATAGTTTCTTTTAAAAAAGATATGTTGTTTCTTTTATATAGGGGACAAGGAAGCTGTTTTATGATTGTTTTCTGTAACAAAGTAATCAGGAATTTGGGGTTCTTTGAAGAAGATTATTCTTGGGTTTGAAGCATCTAAATCTTGTCTAAAGTACTTGATGTTCCAATTGTTATTTTTTTCTATATTTACAACTTGGCCTACAAAATGATATGGTGTCTTTTTTCCTTCAAATCGCACAACAACATAAGTACCCTCTGCTAATAAATATTCAGAGGTTGCAACTACCTCAGGATCCATATTCCTTTAGAGCAAATAGAATCTAATTTATAAGTGCTTTCATTTAAGTAGTTGTTAAACTTTTGCGCGTGTGCTTGTTTTTGATGGAAATGTGAATCTACAAGGTCATAATCATTATTGTATGAATCACTTTTTTCAATAAAAAAATCTTTTTTTTTAAGGTTTTACTTTTTTCTTTCTGTATACAATTAGATTTCTTATCAGAAGCTTCTTGTAGCTCAATATACATCTTGGAGCTTGAAGGCATATCATATTCAATAATTTTTTTTAAAGTATTCAAATTTAATTTAGAATTCCTTTCTATATTTAAAGATTCATTAAGTTGGGTATTTTTTATTATGATTAGCTTGTGTTTTGATTGGGATTTAGAAGCAGAAGAATCTGTTGCAAAATCTTCCAGGGAAACACTTTTTCCAGGTAAAACCTTAACTTTTTCCCACGCATTATTGCCCCAGATTTTTTAGCAGAAGCTTCTCGAAGTTCTGCAAGACGTTCAATAACTAATGGAGATACTAAGTTCTGAGAAGATTTTAGATATGTCTGTCCTTAAAATCTTGTCAACAATTTTTTTTTTCTATTAGTGGGTAGATACCAGATGTTTTGAACCCATTTTCATAGTCAAGAGATTAAGGAGCAATCTTGGGAAAACATTTTTCGGTAGGGATGTATGAAACCTTCCTTTACCAATTTTTCATTCAGTAATTAATTTTCTCCATACTGATTTCATGGGTCCATAAACTGCGAGGTCATGAGACTGTAGTAAATGTGTACTGTTAGGAGGTAAGAAGATCATCCTAATGTTGTTAGCTTCACAAATTTCAATAACATCAATAGATAAATGGCATGCAAAATTATCACCTATAAGAAGTTTTGGTGTGTCGTTATCATTATGTCTAAAGTAAGGTATTACTAATATTTGCATCCAGTTTTTAAAACAATAGCCATTAAACCAACCAGATTTTGAACGGTTATAGCGTGCACTAATTGGCCCTCCAAGCATCCAAGTGTCCATCAGACGCTCAGCTTTATACACTGATTTTGGGTCATCAGAAAGATATGTTTCATCATAGTTTATTATGTTTTGGGGTAGATTATTTTTTATTGTATCTTTTAGGTTATTAAAAAATCTATTTACAGAGTCACATGAAATTGCAGCACGCTTTCTACAAATACTTTGACATGCTCGAAAAGACAAAAGACTTTTATGCCGTTCTAAAAATGATTTTACCCAATCATCACTACGCAAATTTTCTTTAAAACACAAGCAGTTTCTTCCAGATTTGTTAAGACTTTTTTAACTTTGTACAAATAATTCGAGGTCTATTTTATCAAATGCATACCCAAAATCACTAAAAGTTGAAATGTATTGTGCAATTGACATCTCCTCTTCTGGTAGCAAAGAATTTATTCGATCTACCACACTACTTTTGCGTAAACCACTAATAGGACATCTTGAAGTTCTGTTTAGCAGCTTTGCTACACGTTTACAAGGTTCTCTACCATAAACAAGTTCGATAGCTCTTTTAAGTTCACTTTTTGAGTATGTTTTTGACTGTTTTTGAGTTGATTTTATATAGTTTCTCACCATTTCCGCAAATCTGTTATAAAAAAGTGAAAAACATGAGCTAAAAACTCAAATTATTTATATCTTTAAATATTAATTTTATTATCAAAAATATTATAAGAATAAAAACCAGTAAATTCAAAAGGTGCTCATTTACCTCATATAAAAGTGCTCAATTACCCCACCTTACTTTAAATACCTATATTTTATGAACAATTCATTTATAAGACTTGAAAACTTGTACGAGTTTACTTCAATATATGTAAGGTATACTAGAGAAAAATTCAAAATTCTAAGAAATTTTTAACTACAAGCGTGATATAGTTAAATTGTTATCGGTTATTTATTTTCTTCTAAAAGAGCTGTAATTAACAACTATTTTTCTTAAGTTACTTTATGTATTTTTAACTTGAAAATGAACTAAGCATTTATACTAATAGTTTTATTTGTCTTTTAAAAGGAATATGTTAACGGGTGCGCAATTACCCCATGAAGTGTTTGATTACCCCACGTTACGGTACCAGTTGATCCAGTCTGCCTGAATTTTCACACTTGACAAAGTTAAATCACTATTCCGACCATATTTTGTTGTAAGGTGGTCTGCAAACTTTCATTATTTTTTAAATAATGTTTAATAATAAAAACAGGTTGTTCTATCGTTGAACGCTGCATTTGTACTAACAATAAAAATTGTTCTTTTCATCAGGGTTGCCAACAAATTACAAGAAAAATCGCGGCAAATTTAAAAATTTGCATTAATCTTTGGAAACCTTTTTTTTTTTTTTTTTTTTTATTAAGGTGCCCCAAGAAGACCTAACAGTCTTGTCACAGAAAACGATACGGATTAACTGCGCCACGGCCGCAGTTAATCCGTATTGTGTTGTTAATCTATATTGTGTTATTAAACCGTATTGCGTTGAAACTTGCAAGTAAAGCAACCATATTTTTTAATTTGAAAATAAGACCAACCAAGACAATTATTTTATGGTAATCAACAATTTAAATTTGATATTGTTTTCAAAATATAATTAATTATCATAAAATATTTTTATATTCATAGGATTTCTAGATTTATTGGATTCCTAAATTCCATTATTTTTAGATTCATAGGATTCCTCAAGGATTCAATAGATATCCTATAAATTTTATAGGAAACCTATGGGATTGCAATAGGAATCCTATTAAAATCTTATATGTCATGTAGAATTGCTATTGGACTATAGAATTCCTATAGATAATTTTTAGGTTTTATAGAAATCCTATAGCAATACCTAAAGGAACCCTATTGCAATCCAATAGATCCTTTAGGATTCATATATGTATCCTATAGGTTCTATAAGATTTATATAGGTTCTACGGCATACCTTTTTGATTTCTATAAAATATATAGGAATCAAAGTAATATCCTATAAAACGTATCGGAATGCAATAGCAATCCTATACGTTCTATAGAATTCAAACAGCAAGAATAAAACTGCTATAGTATTAAAAGTATAATTCTATATAAATCATATAATTTCTACAAGATTCATAGGACTCCTATACGAAAAAACTAATTTCCTAAAGAAAGTAATTGTCTATAATAAGTCCCATTAAATTATATAGACTTTTTAAATGTAAAAACTTTCTCACTGTAGGTATTGTTGTTCCTCATCCTCCTCATCCTCCTCCGGGTAGTAGTCATACAGAGGCCATATTACCAAGGCCCGCAAAGACAAGTTCGGCTCCTTAAGGAGCGTCATAACCCACTCTACAGACCAAGAGTTAGTGAATTTGGGAAGAACGAAGATATGTTAGAGTGAAAGACAGAAGTAGTTGAGTTAGAAAGATAGCATAGAGAACGCGGACAGGATAGCACACAATATATAAGTAACTATCGTCCAATTTCACTCCTTTCTGTATTCTCTAAAGTTTTAGAAAGAATTTTGTACAATAAAATTTATAGTCATCTTACTTTAAACAATTTATTATACAGCAATCAATATGGATTCCAAAAATACAATTCTACTGAACATGCCATTCTACAATTTACAAGAAATATATCTGACTCATTTGAAAATTCTCAATTTACTTTAGGTGTTTTCATTGACTTGGCGAAAGCTTTTGATACTATAGATCACGAAATTCTTTTTAAAAAGTTGGAGTGGTACGGAATTACTGGAAAAATATTAATTTGGCTAAAAAGTTACCTAAATAATCGAAAACAATTTGTTTATGCGAATGATAACGTATCATCTAGTTTGTTAAATATTTCATGTGGAGTTCCTCAAGGATCCATATTAGGACCTCTCCTATTTTTAATATATATTAATGATCTACCAAAAGCTTCTAACCTAATGACAATTATGTTTGCTGATGATTCTAACCTATTTCTTTCTCATAATAACATTTTTACACTTTTTAGCAATATGAACATTGAACTAGTCAAAATTTCCGAATGGTTTAGATTAAACAAACTATCACTAAATATTGATAAAACTAAATGGATTCTTTTTCATCCTTATGGTAAAAAGCACCAGCTGCCTAGCAACTTACCTTTTCTATTTATCGATAACATAGTTATTAATAGAGTTTTAGTGACAAGATTTTTAGGTGTATATATCGATGAAAATCTTACATGGAAATGCCACATTGCTAACTTGTGCAGTAAAATTTCAAAGAGTATAGGCATTTTATACAAAATAAGAAACGTTCTTGATAAAAATACCTTAATTCAATTATATTATTCGTTAATTCATTGCCATATCAACTATGCAAACAATGCTTGGGGTAGCACTTATAAAAGTAAACTTAAACCTCTCCATCGGCAACAGAAGCATGTAGCACGCCTTATAAATTTCAAGGACCGTTTTGCTCACGCCAAGCCTCTTTTATATGATATGAAAGCACTCAATATATATGAGTTAAATGTTTTTAATATTCTTTGCTTTAAGTATAAATGCAAGACCAACCTATCACCCGTTTCTTTTCGTAACTTGTATTTACAAAGAGATAGAAATAAATATATTCTAAGGAACGATAACTTAATTCGACAACCATTTTCTCAAACTAATTTTGGAAAATTTTTTATTTCATTTCGCGGACCATTTTTATGGAATAGTATAGTTCTAAATACTTCTAAAGATTTTTCTCAAGAATGTAATTTTGATTCTTTTAAACAAAATCTTAAAAAACTCATTTTTTCAACTGAAAATATACTTATCTACTTTTAAATTTTTGAAAATCACTTGTCTATATTAGTATATGAATATATTTAATGTACATTCTTTTTTATTTATTTATTTTTTTATCAACAAGCAATTATTTAGCATGTTTTATTTTAGTGAATTATTTAACATGTTTTAGTTTTTAAGTTTTAGAACTCTTCTATTGTAATATTGTATGTTTATTTATAATATTATATTACGAACTTTATATACTTTTATTAATAAATTTAATTTTGTAATAAAAAGAAACTGAACAAAAATAAATAAATACAAAGAATGAAAACATTGAAAAAAAATAATAATAATAATAATAAAAAAAAAAAAAAAAATTAAAAAAAAAAAAAAAAAAACGTTCAAAAGCAGTTTCTCTGTGACAAGACCTGATGGTCTTCTTTGAGTATCCGCGTTCTTTATATTTATTAATATTCTTTATATTATTATATTATTCTTAACGATATCTTGACTTGTTACCTTTTCTTTTTTATTTTTTTATATTATTTGTATCTGTATCATAAATATTGTAATAAAGAACAAAAAAAAAAAAAAAAAAAAAAAAAAAAAAAAAAAAATTAGAAGGTGCGATATATAATATTTTATAATATATAAGTAATATTATATAATAAAAATCAAAACAAAAAATTTTCTCACTGTAAATTTATGGTCAACTAACATTACAAACGTATGTTTGTCCAGCCAATTTAAAAAAAAAATAAAACCTAATGGAATATAATATATTCCATTAGGTTTTAATTTGCTTAAAATGTTTTGCGTTTAACAACAAAAATTTTGATTAATTACGTACATTTTTTTTGTTAATAACCGATATTTTTTTAGTAATGAGGCGGCGTTGTAGTTTAAATTTAAATTTTTTAAAATAGCCAGTAGCACTTGGTTGTTTATATATAAGCTTGGTATATTCATGGCATTGAAAAAGGCAGTTTATAATAAAAAATAAAAATTATGCTCAATTTTTTAATAAAACTTGCGTGAAATAAAGAGAATTTCGAAAAAAAGTGGGGTCAAATGCACCCAACGAAATATGTATATATATATATATATATATATATATATATATATATATATATATATATATATATATATATATATATATATATATATATATATATATATATATATATATATATATATATATATATATATATATATATATATATATATAGAATACCTTGAAGGATATTTCTATTAAATATCTTTTAACTAAAGCAAAGGGCAATTCGATAA